TGTTTTTAATTATGTATTGTCTTTATGTTAAAAGTTTGTCTCCCCCTCCCTTTTGGGTTGTGAGCCGCCCTGAGTCCCCCCAGGGAAAAGGGCGGTATACAAATAAACTTCTATACTCTATACTATACTATCTCTGTTACCATCGAAGGGATTATCTAGATTTCTGTACTCAAACAAAGAATGCAAGAATTACCAGTGACCAAATGAATGGACAATAATGTCAAACAAGTGTGGGGTTAACTCTTACAGGGTATTTTTTCCAGAACTTGGATATATTATTTTTGGGAGGTAGTGTAGTGCTTTGGCTATTTTTTTTTTAATGTTAAAGCAAATGCAGGATTTGTCATTTGTTGGATAAGACATGGAAAACATGATATTATATATGGCATGATTATATATATGAAATAAGATAAACACCAATTTTTCAAATTTAACCTAGCTATTAAATCATTGGTTAGTCTTAAGTTACTGTATGGTGTTTACCTTTGATGCAGATGGGGACCCTGATCTTATTATATACATGAAGTTCCTGCTGACCTATTTCTTCTGTTTTTTCCCCACTGCTTACCAGCAACAAAGAGTTATTTGATGTATAAATTCTCTGAAATCTTGAAATATGAACATGTAGTTGTCCCTTCTGTTCTATGTTATAGCAAGTTTATTGTGGTCTTTGACAAAATGGACAGTTGTTATATGGCTTTCCTATATGCAGTTATTGGAAAGTTTAAAGTGGATACAATATTTTATGGCTTTGTATAATGTAGGACTAAGTTTGAAATAGAATTACATAAAAATGTTGATCAACATGTTATTGCTAAAATGTATAACCTTTATTGAAATATGAGACAGAAGAAGTAGTGACAGAATGAGTAAAATGGGCTAAAATTTTGGCTGAAATATACAAATGGATCAATGGAAAAATATATGGTTGAAAGGATTGAAATATACATCCTGTTCTAAACTTAAACAAAAAAATAATGAAATGATGTGTGCTGGTGTTTGTCTCTAGACTATATATGGGTACTTTGAATCTTTGATGGAAATGTGAACAACATGAAAATATATTTTATCATATATGCAAGACATGTAAAAAAGCCAAAAACAAAATTGGATACAAATAGATACACTAATTCACAAGATCTTTAAAGACATACAATTGAAACCAAAGACTTTTCTTTCAGGAATAATGGGCAAACAATTAGGAAAAAATATGGAACTTTGTATTTATATATGATGATGGAATTGAGATTACTATATGCTCAAAAGGTTGACACTACCCATTAGAGAGGAATAGATCGGGAAGATGATGGAACTCACAGAGATGGCTAAAATGACTTCCTTGATCAGAGAAAAGACAATATCTACATTTATGGCTAATTAGAAACCGTTTGTAGACTTTGAATAAAACAAAAAAAATGCTTTTATATTATAAATAGATAGAAAAAATAGATAGTAGAAAAACATGAGGTTTTTTTTGTACTCATAGAGATAACTTTGTAATTGTATTTATATTGGCTGTAAAAAAATCAGGAGCTTCTTTCTATTTTTTTGCACGTTTGCCTTTTTTCTTTTTCTTTGATTTATTTATTTATTTATTAGTTTTTATGTTCTCTTTAAACATTTTATCAAAATTTAAACAAAAAAGAGAGTTTTTAATGTCACACATCTGCTTTTACGGATTGGGGGTGGGATGGAAATAGTGATTTTCAATGTTATTTACTTTACTCTTATTTACAATCCAGATATGAATTGAAGAATCAGATGATCACTAGATAGTAACAAAGAGTTGGTGTTTTCTTTATTTCTTTGCTGCCATCTGTTAGTCATCCATATATTTGTAACTCAGATGTGGTAGGCCTAAATTTTTCTGTGATGCAGAAGATAAATCTATACTTGATTTCAAACATACCTGAATATTTGAGAATTTACAGAATTATATGCAGGCATTGTAGAAAATACCTGGTAATTTATGTCTCATGACTGAAGACTTCTTTTGATCTGGAAACACTTTTCAGTTGT